CTTTCTCACCCGAACCACCACCCACCCATTCCCACGATTCCTGAAAGCAGGCTGAAGAGGGCCTTCCGCCCTACCTTCCGGCATAGTCCGGAGGGACTGCCCGCCCACCAGCATTACTAGCTGGTGGGAATGAAACACCCAAAAGTTTTTTTTTTTTAGGTATCTCTAATCAATCCCCTTTGTGTACAGGTACCAAATAAGTTAAATCAGCATTATTGAATATTATTAGATATATCTAAATCTTATGTTTCAATTGGCCAATAATCAATTTTTCTGCCCTGGAGTTCCGACCTTCATTTTGAGAATTACTAGGCATAGTGGTGAATGATTAAGAAATTGGAATAAAAAATCTTAAACGGTCGATGCTTCGGTTAAGTTTAGGAAATAAACAATTATAAGTATCAATTTATTTTGAAATTATACATCTACTTTCTGTACAACCACGCGCTATCTAATCGTTTGATTTGTAAAATTTAATTGAAAATATTCACATAGGTATATCCGACGCAAGAATGTGCTCATATCATTTCAAATTATTTTCACACTCTGAATAATAAAAAGGCATAATACAACCACGAAATGGATTTTTGTACGGACGTGATACACATAAAAATATATTATCCTCAACTGAATCTAATTTATACATATGTACGTATGCATTTGTAGTTTATTTTTCAGGGTTTTAGGTAGACCTTGTCTCACATATTCTGCTTTAAACACTTGGCTTACTGCTAATAGCACATTACGTATAATACATTAAATTTTTAAATTGACTTACCTTGGATGCCTATATCTTCTGTCCGATTTTCTATTATTTTCAGGAAATCGACGAACTGCGAGCGTTCGATCGGTGGGATATAGCGATCTGTTTGTTCTAAGTAAAAAGGACATGTGGGACGTGCTTAAAGAATATCCCGCAGCCAGGGTCAGACTCGAAGCCATTGCCGTCAAAAGACTGGAGAAATACAAAAGGGCGCCATTAGAAAAAGGTTAGTAAATTCTATACTTGCTAAGTAATTGAAATAAAAGTATTTAGAGTATATATTTAAATTGATGTTTAATATTTACATTTAAATACGGATGACTTAAAAGTATTCAGTATTTGTGTTTAAATATCTTCTTAAATGAAGATATTTTATTTGAAACGCCAGAGCGGTTTTCAAGTACTTGATATGACCTCATTATATTTCATGTATATACTTCATATTTCTACAAATGGGTACTGTTATCGACGGTGCACTTACATTTTTATCATGTATAATGAATATTTAATTACTTTTTATGCACTAGTACCAAATCAAATTTAGATAATGCAAACGATTTGTATTTAACTATGGAACAAGTTTTGTTTGAAAAATTTACCGATTAATCTTACAGTTTGACCGCAATGAGCATATTTCGCATTTTTTTGTGCCACCCTGTATATGTGAAGATACAGGGTGGATAGAGAAACAATTCTTGGAGAGGAAAAGTAACGTTTTAGTAAATGTAGCTTCTGACATAACTTCCTTATTAAATTGCTTTTATCTAAATTTAATACTGTCAAAGATAAAAATTCAGTTACTCAAGTTGAGTGGCATATTTTTACATGTTAGTTGCTTGTTCGTGTTTCTTCTGATATTCAGGGGCAAATCTCCTTATTCGCTTATTCTTACACAATATTCCTCACAGTACATTGAAGTAACCTACAAGTGATAGAACACACAAATAACCAGCAGGGCATTTAGTCCAATCAATAGAGAACGGCTTAATGTTAAATTTGCCGAAAATGTTAACAGGAAACAACAAAATATGATCGTATTGGGATCCGTCAATTGGGCATACACCATCTGGTGGCAAAACGAAATTTTCTTCTAAAGTTAAATCAAATAAAAAGTTAATATGTTCAGTAAAAAACTGCAATAGCACTTCAGACATAGGTCTTCACTCTTCACCTACATTAAACGGAATAAAAATTTGTTCATGTCATTTTAATCCACATGATTATATTTCAGCAAGTATTTACCATCAGCCATAACCTTAATATTTAAAACTAGAATCATACTAAAATTATAAAGTGAGAAATTATTTATTCCTGTGAAATTGATTTAACACAATACTTTTTACAAACTTCGGATAAAAGTGATTCACGTTATATAATTGGTGAGGTGATTCTGGGTGATTTAAGCAATATCATATCAATCACTTGCACGTGCAAAGCCGATTTAAGAGAACGTTGCAAACACATTATTGCAACTTTGTTGTATTGCAGCAGGTAGGTTCTTAACCTCAAAATACTTATATCGTATCATT